ATATAGTATATTTTTTTTTATTTTTTATTTTTTGCAAGCCTTTATGAAAAATGCTTTTTCTTCCTCAACTAAAATGTAAATTTTGCCAATCAAGGAACTGACATAAGAACAGTTTCATTTCAATCATTTAACACTTGGTGCAGTATTCAGCGTTAGTCAACAATGAAATGCTTCATGCTGAGAGTTTCCCTTTAAACAGATTAGGAAACAATCTGAGTTGAGAGAAATGAATTCCCACATTACTGAGCTGATGGGAGGTAGAATCCTAAAATCACTTCCCAACTTACATCTGGCAATGCAAGGCAAAGGGTTCATTTTAGTGTCACACAAAGGTAAGGACAATATAACCCGAATTTATTAACTTTAAGCAACAATAATTTAAGATACAAGAGTCCCATATTATAGGAATTCAAAGACTATACAATAAAAGGAAACTGACAAATGGTCAGCTAATACACAACCCAATCAGTTAACAAACAGAGCCAAAGATCAATACAAGTCATGCACCATCTTCTGTGTAACACCTTGGGTTTTTTTATTCCAAAGGTAGATTGATCTAAACTGGCTGTTAACTATACCTCTACCTGAAATTACCTGTTAAAGAATTCACCAGGTGATGCTTATATTTAGGCATACGTTAGAATAGTTAGAACAATGTCTTTAAGATAATACTGGGTGATTTTTTTCCCCCCAAAACAAATAAAACCTAAATAGACATAGAGTAAAACATATTTTCTAATTACAGAGACAAGTAAAAATGATCAAGTCTCAACAGTACCTACTTACAAAGTTAGAAATAAACACAACATCTAGCAGAGCCAATTTCAGTTCTGGTTTCACCACTATTAATAGGAAAGCTGAGACAGGTCACTTTGCCTAAGGATGATCTGAAAAGTCATAATAGCATTTTAAATCCAAAGACCTTTAAGTCTTTTCACACCAAGTAGAAATTGAGGAAAGTACAATCTGAGAAACAATGATACTGTTCCTCACATGTCACTGGGTCACTAGCAGTCACCCAAATCACACCTCAATTCCCAGTGACTTAAGTTAGAAGCTGCTTGCCCTGAAACACATCATTCTTCAGTTGAGCAAGACATGCTGACACCCTACCTGGGGTCCAGAGTAAAATACACAAATCATCTTCTACTGGCACCAGCTGACTATCTACATACACACAGGACTGACTTAAAAATCTATTGAATTCTTCAGTTCATTAAAGAAAACAAAATCTAAATTACATGCTTAGTCAACAGAAGTTTAACTTTAGCTCAGTGAATTTTGAATTGGCCATTAGTGGTAAGTACAACACTTTGCATTTGTTGTAGAAACCAAACAAATCAGGCTTTCCCCTTGACAATACAATGTTCATTTGTGTGTAAAGTGCCAGTTTTATTTACAAACTAGTTAAGTAAACTTTAAAGTTTTCTTTGTAGCAGTGAGACAGACATCTGAACTGTCTGGTGGTTGGTAAATGTTCAATCCTGCTGGGGCAGGCTTGCTTGAGGGTTCCTCACTTTGAAGCCGGATCGTCATCATTAGTGCTGTGAAGCTGGACAGCCTGCTTGCCAAAGCCAACAAGGATTCTGAGGTAGCTACACGGTTTTTTAGATGCCATTAATGAACATATGGACAATGGTGTAGCTGGTGGATTCATTTTAGCTGATTTGGGGGGATGGCAGGTAAGGGAGGGGGGGGAATCAGCCAAATAAAAGCATATCTTCTGTTCATTTAAAAGTCAGCATCCAAGGTAAAAGAATTATCTGTTGGATTCGACATCACTCCCATCCTCTGATACTCGCCTACTCTCTTCTCAAAGAAGTTAGTCTTCCCTTCTAGTGAAATATTCTCCATAAAGTCAAATGGATTTTCTACTTTGAAAACCTTGTTAAAGCCCAGCTCCAGCATAAGCCTATCTGCCACAAATTCAATGTACTGCTTCATCAAAGTGCAATTCATCCCAATTAGCTTCACAGGCAAGGCTTCTGTGAGGAACTCCTGTTCTATCCTGACAGCATTGATGATTATTTCTTTTACTCTCTGCTCTGATGGTTTGTGCAGCAGGTGTTTGAACATCAGGCAGGCAAAGTCACAGTGTAAACCCTCATCTCTGCTAATAAGTTCATTGGAAAATGTGAGGCCAGGCATCAGTCCTCGTTTCTTGAGCCAGAATATTGATGCAAAAGAACCAGAAAAGAAGATTCCCTCCACAGCAGCAAAGGCTACAACACGTTCTCCATAGGTAGCCTCTTTGTCCCCAATCCAACGCAAAGCCCAATCGGCTTTCTTCTTCACACAAGGCATTGTTTCAATGGCATTGAAGAGAAATTCCCTTTCTTTGGGGTCTTTAATGTAAGTGTCAATAAGGAGACTATACATTTCAGAATGTATGTTTTCCATGGCAATTTGGAAGCCATAGAAACAGCGTGCTTCTGTAATTTGAACTTCTTGGCTAAATCGCTCCACCAAATTCTCATTTACTATGCCATCACTTGCTGCAAAGAAAGCCAGAACGTGGGATATAAAATATCGTTCCTCAGGCTTCAGGGATTCCCAGTGCTGAATGTCCTTGGAAAGATCCACCTCCTCTGCTGTCCAAAAGGAAGCCTCAGCTTTCTTATACATCTGCCAGATATCATGGTATTCCATAGGAAAGATGACAAAGCGGCGGGGGTTCTCTCTCAGTAGTGGTTCATCCTCTACGCTGGGGGCAGGTACTTTAGTTTTCGGCTCCTCGGGATCCTGGAAGATCCTCCTCGCGGTGTTGCTGGCCAGGACGCGGGTCGCGTTGAGGGCCGGGGGCGTGTTCTCCTTGTCGGCCAGGCTGAGCCTCTTCAGCGGCGAGAGCTGCAGCTGCTGCTGGTCTGCGATGGTGGCGAGTGGGGTGCGGACTGAGAGCATGGTGGTGGCGGTGGCAGACGTGGAGACGGTAGTGACCGAAGTGGCTAAGCAGGACCCCGAACGAAATATAGTATATTTTAAGTCAGTGTTTTTTTTTTTTAATTGGAGAGTCACACTTATGCAGTGCGTGTGTGTGTGTGTGTGTGTGTGTGTGTGTGTTACTGGGAATTGAACCTGGGTCCTCTAACCACTGGACCTTTTTTGTTTGTTATTATTTCTTTTTAGTTATACATGACAATATAATCCATTTGGATAAAATTATACATGTGTGCAATATATTTTATTCTAATTAGGGCCCCAGTCTTGCATATGTATGCAATGGTGGGTATCACTGTGGTGTATTCATACATGTACTTAGGACAGTATGTCAGATTATTTTCATTGTCTTTTCTATTCCTATTCCCCCTCCCTTACCTTCATTCTGCTTCGTTTAATCCTCTGAACTTCTATTCCTCACATCCCTGAACCTTTAAAAAATTTATTTATTTAT